GCTGGAGCTGGAGCAAGTGCAGCGGGGACCGCACCCTGGACGCCCTGCGCAGGGCTCCAGCAGGCCTGGCTGTAGCTGAAGGCGCAGTGCTCTGCTTCAGGGAGGACTTCGAAGGGGCTGTGCGGAGGGAGGCTGCAGAAAGCTGGGCCCCCGTGGTGCAGGGGGGCGGCGGGGAGCACAGGGCCAGCTGGGAACACTGGCTCCTCAGGGAACACAGGTGTGGCAGGTAGCACAGGGCTGGCAGGGAGCACAGGGTCCCCCTGCAATGCAGGGCCTGCAGGCACAGGCTGAGGGGCGCAGACTCCTGGTTTTGGGGGCGCAGCGTGGGCTTCCTGGACTTGCTGCCCGCGCAGTCGCTGCAGCCTGTAGTCTTTGGCCCTGAGGTTCTTGAGCCACACCTGCACTTGGTGCTCCTGCACGTTCACCTGCTTCGCCAGGGTCTCGCGTTCCTTGTAGGTCCCGTAGCATTTCTTCTTGTAGAATTCCTCCAGCTGCGGCCGCTGTTCTATGCTGTACACCGTGCGCTTCGGCCGCTTCTTCCTCCGATGGGCTGGGGAAGGTGGAGAGCCCGGGGGCGACTCAGGTTCCTGCATCCTGGATGCTGCTGGGTCCTCTGCCCTTGAAGCTCTCCGTACCATATGCGATCTTGCCTAGTAATACATTCCATCATTTCTCCTTAGAAACACAGCCAGAGCTAGAAAATTAACCCAAGGTCACTTTTGTCCCTACAGCAGGAATTTTGTTAATCTTTTATCCACAGGATTTAAGAAAGATGTCACATCTAGCTGGTTTCATGAAAGAGGAAACATTTGAGCTGGGCCTTGAAGAATGGCTAAAATTTGCAAAGAGGAATAATAAGGGGGTAGTAAAGAACTGGGGATGTTTGTGGAACAGCAAGTTAAGTCCCATGGCTGGAATAAAGTATTTAGGAGAGTGATGGTATAAAAGCCAGGACAGCTAATATTGGAGTGCCTTGAATGTGAAGCTACAGGGTTAGTTTCATAGGCTGTGGATAGTGTAAAGATTTTTAAGGCATTGTCAAATCTTTGCATTTAAGAGGATTAAACTCACTGCTCTGTGTAGACTAGATTGGAAAAAGAATATAATGTCTCAGAAGTCAAGAGATTTTTCCAGTGAGACAGGTAAGATGACGGATTATAAAAAGGCTTTAGATTTGAAATTTAGGGAGTCTTCAGTAGTATAATATGAAGACAAAAACCAAAGAGTAGGGGAAATGGAGTAAGTAAGTATAGGCAAGGACGGCAAAGTTCACTGGAAACTAAAAAGAGATTGGTAATATGGATGGAATTAAGTTGGAAGGATATTTTTTTAAAATACAATTTGTTCATATATAAAAACTAGATGCCTGGTGCATGAAATTTATGCAAGAAGGGGGGGTGTCCCTCAGCCTGGCCTGCACCCTCTTGCAATCCGGGACCCCTTGGGGGATGTCCAACTGCCAGTTTGGACCTGCGGGATTGGGCCTAAACCGGCAGTCAGACATCCCTCTCACAATCCGGGACTGCTGGCTCCTAACTTCTCGCCTGCCTGCCTGATTGCACCTAACCACCTCTGCCTTGGCCCCGGCTGCTGTGGCTTCATCCAGAATGGCATCCGGAAGGTCGTCCAGCTATCGGTCTAATTGGCATATTATGCTTTTATTATTATAGAGATCACATTCTTTCCACCACAGTAATAGATCCCAAATATTGGTCTACCAACTGATACTCCACAATCACTTTGGAAGCTTTTTAAAATCAGATTCCCAGACCCTTCCTCTGGATTAGGGGTCAGCAAACATTTTGTGTAATGGGTAAATAGTAAATATTTTAGACTACATGCCATATGTAGTCTCTGTCACACATTCTTTGTATTATAACCCTTCAAAGATGTAAAAACCATTCTTAGCCTGTCATCCATACAAAAACAGACTAGGCTGGATTTGGACAGTGGGCTGTAGTTTGCCAACCCCTGCTCTTAAGAATCTGATTCAGTCCATCTGGATTAGGACCTGGGAGTAGGAATTCTTAAAAAGCTCCCTAGGACTTCCACTTCTATCCATATAGAGTAAGGACCAGACTTAAGTGGCAAACGACAAACTAAGTGAAGGGACCTTTTCAGACATTGAACAGGTAGCAAAGATATAGAGCGCCTGAGAGACTAAAATCAGGAGGACATTTGGGAAATGGAGAAGTTGGAAGAAGCTAGATGATGGTCTAAAGCAGTGGTCGCCAACCTTTCGGACCTCACGGACCACCGGTGGGAGACCTCTGGTCTAAAGGGAATTTCAGCAAGAGAAACCTGAGAAGGGGGATTTCTTAGTGATTCACTTTGTCTCCTCCATTACACTGACTTGTAAGCCTGATCTAAGAAACATATTTTACCTTCAAAAGCAACAGTAATCCCTTCAGCTACATTTAGAGATCCTGTGTCAACTTATCTAGCACACTCCTTTCTAGTTGGTAATTATGTGTTTCAACTGGATGTTCAATTTGAGACATTGGGAAGAGCTTGGTTTAAAAGCCTCTTCTGTGCCAAAAGTAATTTTCTTTATGCTTTTCAAGAGAGTAGGGAGAAGGCTAATGAGGACAGATTACATCACTTACCTGAGACAGGCCCTGTATCCTTGTCAAGAGATGTTTGAATTTAAGGTTTGAAGACTGTAATTTAAGAGAAATGGGATAGATCATGGTTTCTTCCTTGGAAATCTGAGGGGGGGGGGGCGGTTGCCATGGTAATGCTAACTCCTACTTTCACCTACAGAGTAGGGGAGTACCTACTATGTTCCAGGACCCCCGCAAGCTTGACCAACTATATTGCCCCTCTAGTCTTAGGGGAAAAGAGTATGGTTGCGTCTTTTAGTACCTGCTCCAGGGTAAACAGTTTGAGGAGCACCCAATAATGCTGGGCCTCTTCTTTCCAATGGCCCTGGCCCTTCCAGAGATACCTTTGTCCTTTACACTCTGAGCCCAGATGCCTGTTAGAGGCATGGTTACCCCACTTCCTTCCACATATGAAGCAATTCCAGGAAGGATCATCATAATGCTCTCCCAGTTATTAAGCAAATCCCAAAAAGAGGTTACAGTTGTGAGAGAGGGGGATTGCTTCACTCCCTTCAGAGGAGTGTTATGAAAGGATTTGAAGGCACAGGTACTAAAAGACTGTTGAGGACAAATGTTCATTAGCATGAAGTTGCTTTTTGTTAATCCTCACCAAGGATATTCTCTCTCTCTCTCTCTCTCACACACACACACACACACACACGCTGATTTCTAAAGAGGGGGAGGGAGAGAGGGAGAGAGAAACATTGATTGGCTGCCTTCCACACAAGCCCTGACCAGGCTGGGAATCGAACCTGCAACCCTTTGTTGTGCAGCCTGACATTCCAACCACTGAGCAACACTGGCCAGGGCTAGCATGAAGTTTTGATGCAGCTATAAGGGATTTAAGGTGAAAAGCCTTGATACCTCCTTTGATGGCTTCTCTGAGCCAGCAGACTCTCAGTTATCTATTAAAATGGTTGGATTGAGAAATCACATCTTTCCTGCATGTAAAAGGCTAATGATCACACTTAAAACAACAGAGTATTTGAGGCCTATGTGACCTGTTTGTGAAGTAACCATCTCTGTAATATTGACCTGGCTTATATACTGGGATTATAGTTTTTATAAAAGATTCAATATCACCACTTTAACACACCACCCAACAGTGAGTCAGTGTTGGTGCTCAACATGGAACATGCTGTCCTGAGAGCCCGTGGATAGTAGGATCATTGGGTCCCCGACATGGACAGCCTCCTCACCCCACCTGGGCTCTGATGCCCTCCACCCAGCCACCCTCTGCATAGGTATCTCCCCCTACTTGGTCCTCTGACTCCCCACTCCAGGCCACTCCTCATGGGGGCGCCCTTCCAATCCTGCTCATCCACAGAGATGATTTCACATGGTAAACATTCATATGATTGGCTACCCTAGTAGCCGTTGTTCTGTTTACATCTCATTTTCAGTGGTTAACTTAATCCTCAGGACAAACATAGAGCTCAGTCAGTGAAAATTATTATAAAGTAAGTGAACTTGAGAGTTTTTGTGCACTCTTCTATATATGTTATACTTTAATAAAATTTATTTCCCAGAAACATCTTATACTGACATGTTAAAACAACACTACCAGAAGGAAGTCTAAAATATTTATGTTACCACGAAGTTACCCCTGCACCTTGGTAGAGGCCTCGGACCCTACAGCAGTCTGGCAACCAGCTGATCAGAGAAGGAACACTTTTCTGTTCTCTAACAGCTTGTCCTTGCCACACTGGGAAGTGACAAAAGGT